GTGAGAGCCTGGTCCGGTGAGAACCCGGCGTGCTCCGTCCCGGCTTTGTAGGGATGCGAGGTCAATGGTCTAACGACTACGGCATGCACGACTATGAGTACCCCCCCCCCCCCCGCAAACGTGGAGACTCGAAAAGACGTAACCTAAATTGTTGCGACTACTTTTTTCATGAGATAAGCAAGCAAAAACACTGCAGGTTAACTGCGGTCGAATTGAACGATCGTGCTGTAGGCCTGCACGCGTCTTGTCGGTGTCGGTAGTGCTTACTAGTTTTCCTCCGGCGCGCTAAAACACTGCCGCCGCTTTAGGTTTTCAACATGTTCAGGAAGGACGGTCCGTTCCGAGAAACCATCGAGCGGGTCGTTCTATCCCCGAGGCTTGCCCACATCGCCGCGCAGCTCTTGGGCTGCCAACGGTGAGCGAGCGTCGAAAATATCGCTAATTTAAGCGATCAAGTGGTTGTGCGTTCTCATTCGCTGCACCCGGGCCATTTCCACAAGCGTCTGTCGTGAGCGGGGGGGCTCTGTCACCTCTGGTGGTCTTGATATATAGCGTCCGGATGGTGGTCGGTAGAAGAACAGCCTCGTGTGTACCCGTTCTGCACGTCCCGTGCTTCAAAGTCTCGAGAGACGACCTACAGTACTACTCTCAACATATGGAGGGAAGCCTCAACTTGGGTGGCTGCCTCTCAGGTTGTGTTTCTCCTCCTCCAGATGTTGCTGCTGATGCTGATGCTGATGCTGATGCTGCCGCTACGCGCCCTCCTACCGTCTTGATTAGCTTGAGACTCTACCAAGACTCAACGTTCTGCAAGCGGCCGGGGGATGGTCAAACCAGGTGGCACTCGGACCTCAACATGGCGCCGCTGGACTGCAACGACTTCGTGACCGCGTGGATACCGTTGGAGGAGATTCCCGCGAAGAGGGAGGGCGGCTCGCCCCTGGTGTTCGCCAGCAGGTCGCACCGCGACTTCGCCCTCAACCACTGGCGGGATTCCCGGCTACGGGAAGACTTGACCGGGAGATACCGCGAGAAGGACCACGCTCCCTTGGCCGCCGGTAATATTAAGACTGGATACAGATTTAGTTTTTTTTGAGGTTCGTTGGGCTGTTCGAGTCAAGAAACACGTTGACTGTGTGAGCTTGGGAGACGTCACACCGCAGCAGGCAGCCGGCTGTGGGTTGGTCCCGCCTGCGTGCTTTACTTTCATCTTGCGTCACACCCCTTGATGACACTGGGCTCTCATGAGCCCACTCTAGAGGGATTCCTTGTACGCGCATAAACGCTCCCAGCGATGTTTGATTGCCACGCTTTGTGGTTCCCCGAACGCGCATTTTGACGAGACGGGAGGGGGGATAGTGTTGCGATTTCGACTTTTTGGGATGCCCTCTAGTGGGTCTGGGGGAAGCCCTGTGACCCGAGACACGATGATCTTCTCGTGGCACATCAATAGCTCAATAACTCCAAGGGGCGAGATCAGAATCAAGTGATTGTTGTGCCTTGTTCCTATCAAAGCTTGCGCCTACCCCGTGAAAAGGTCACCTGGCAATTTCCCGTCAAGGGTTGCTTGTTTTTCCCACGGCGCTCTTGACCTTGATGGCTTCGTTTTGGAGGGAGTGTTGGCAGCAACTTCTTGCCTATTTAGCTTACTTTCCTACCGTGTGCAGAATTTGGCTGTGGTACCCAACGAGTTCGAACGGCATGCATGTCCCATCCCTTCATTGTATGCATACAGTAATCTGGATACCGTTAAGTCGAGGGGACAACGTGCAGCTCGATTTCTCCACAAGCAAGAGGCTGTCAAATGCCGAAACGGGTGGTGTTCCAAGAATATGCTGGTCGAGAGAGAGGCTTTTCTGTCCTTGAAAGTTTCGGTCGACGTCTCTATCGCACCCGCGATTGGTTGTGGACCAATCGGTCTTGCAAGAATCGATCGCGCTCCGATGCGTTCGCTCTCACGTCCACGGTATGACCTCGGAATGACATCCTACCCGGAAACTTTCGACTCGATGCGTGGTGCACGCGTTTTGGTGTGTGTGTAGGTGACATCACGTGGCACCACGGGTGGACGCTTCACAGCTCCCCGGGCAACAGGAGGGAGACACGTCGGGTGGCCTTAGCCGTCAGCTACTTCCGGGACGGGACCTGCCTCCTGTCTGACACCGCGGGGTATGTTCTTGTTGGTGCTATCCGCTTCATTTCCTTCCATTTATGACGGCCACACGTAGTTTTGCGGCAAACGTTTTGTTCCCGAAACCAGTAGCCTGGAAACCTAATAGTGTTTTGCCGGTTGTCATGCTTGCTGCCTATCGCGACGGAATGCTTTGGAGGACCATTTTTTTTTGTTTCGTCGGGAATGTTTTTTGATCAAGCCTTGTTCGTGTCAAGATTCTCGCCAAGGACGATTTTCTTTCTTGAAGTTCCACGACATGCTCATGAAATGATGTCGGCTCTTTGCTCTCGAGCCTTACACGCATTCTCGCTTCGCCCTTTGACAAGGTGCTCGCTCCTCCGGGTTAACCCTAAAACTAGCCGCTGTCCTCCACGCGCGCGCGAAACTCGTCAATTTACAGGAGATCACCAGATCCAGAGGACAAGTGGAGCTACGGGGACTGGGTCGGCGACTTGCCAGTAGGAGGCGTTGTTAAACACCCCTCCGTCCCGCTTGTATGGAACGGGGGACGGCCCGTGAGATGACATGACATGGCGAAGCATGTGTCGAATGGTCGTTGGTGTGTGTTTCTGATCATCGTGCATGATTATCTTGCGATGAAAATCTAGGCAAGGGGGGGAAGGGTGGGGGATCAAACAGAAATGTTCTCCTGTTTGAACTTCGTCCTGTGTGGCCCCGGCTGATACGTCAAGCATCTACGCCGAAAGGTGCGGAGACTGGAACGAAGACACACACACGCACACACTGCTCGATCGTGTAGAAGTGGGCTTTCACAATTTTAGTACCTCTGCCATCGTTTAATGCCGTAGCATCACCGGTGCCCTGACGAGAAGCCGAGGCCAAGCCTAAGGAAGTGGGCAATGCCAAACGTCAATATCCTCGACTCGGGCAGCGTAGGGTTTTGATCAGCCGTGGTAGGCGGTACGGTTTGTCCGGCAATCGACGGCTGCGGGTCGACCCGGTCGAATCGCCAGCATACCGTGCTGTAGAGATTAACATACGGTCTACTGAGTGGCAGTTCAGCGGTGCGGATCTTGAACCTGATATTTGTTTCTGGTGGGGGCTAAGGAGTCTGTGCAAGATCTCTTGAGCAACTTTGCTCGTGTGGCAACCCGTTCGAACGCAACCTAGCTAATGTTGGCTTACATTGCACCACCGGCCAAGATACTTCACAAGAACCACATTTATTTTGAGTTCGTGCTCCAACCCGCGTGTCATTGTTGGAAACTACACACGGCGTCACGAAGGACTGACCATTCGAGGTAATTCCCAGAGGGGATACGTTGCCCCTTACCCTAACCATAATGTGAAGACAACAACAACAACAACACGTTGGAAGCCTTGCAGCGACTCTGGCTGAAAACGCAACGTGCGTCGGCATCGCGCGGGAGGACCCAGACCCTACATCATTCGCACGCCCCCCGGTCCCGTCGTTTTATTCTTCTCCCAGTGCGCCGTTGGCCTATGTTTTCCACGTATACCACCCACTAGTTTGCCTGGTAATCCTCGTCTTCTTGTCCGTCCTGTGGGGGTGCGTGCCAAAGGTGGTAGCCGGCGGTTGCGATATCAGTTCTAGGATGCATGACAAAGGTATATTTGACTGCTACAAGCGTTACGCGTGTCTCCCCCGAATCGCTTCGAGATAGGGAAGAATTTGCCCTCCTTTTTTCTCGCTGTCTAGTCGGAGTCATTTCAATCGCATCACAGCACGTTGTGGACAACCCCCGGCTGCGTACGGCGTCAACACCGGGATAAGCCACAGCAGAATTCTGTGACGACTTCAGGGGAGAACTGTGGGCGGCAAGGAAGAACGGAGAATAAGTGATGGATAAACCCCACCATAACAACGCCCCCCCTACCATCCCTTCTGGGTATTGTCCACCACATAGACAACGTCACCACGGGAACTGCCTGAGCATTTTATCGTTCTGAGATCCCGAGAAAGACGTCAAAGTACTTCCAGTTATTTTCACATAGTACTCGCATGGGCTGCGTGCTCCTTTTTGTGACCTCAGGCGACATTTTTCATCGTATCCGTGTCCGGAGTGCCCTCCCACTTCCTCTGAAAGACACCGTCAAGTTCCGGGCTACTGCCGTGCCTGCCGCGTGTGACGGTGCTACGCTTCGGCGACGCGGGGCGCGGCGCACAGAAAGTTTCCGACAGAGGGGAAAGTGTTCCGAAGGTCGCTTCTTTTCCAAGACGCCCGCTAGGCACAGCGCAAACTCACGTCGCCAACGCTGCCCTTGAACAATCGCTCCAGCCCGGCGTCCTCCCCGGGCCTCTTGTTGGCCAGGCGCCAGCTCATCCGCCACACAATGACCCTGCCACGACTGTCGCCCGTCGCCAGCAGATCCCTTTGTCTAGGGTTGAAAGACACCGAGTAGGCCGCCCCCACTCCGCCCTTGTCGTTGACATCGACTAGCCTCGACCGGGGATGGAAAACAGCGTCTCCCCGAGGTAGCTGGGCGCTCGCCACCGGTATCACCGGGCTTTGGAGGAGGTCGTAGATGAAAATCCCGCCGTCTTCCGCCTTTCGCGGAAGGGCGACGCGCATCGGCGCAGTGCGTGTCCGGGTGCACGTTGGAGATGGCCGGAAAGGATGTTGGCCGTGAGAAAAAAGGCTTGCAGATCCGGCGTCGGATTCGACGTGTTCGCTGACAGACCCATTAGTTTTGATCAATTTATGTTCCAATGCCCCACCAACCATACTCGCTGAATTCAATTGTGCCCGACGACGCTTTTCAACGTTTGCTCCGAAGCAGTGGTGATCTCACGTTTCAGCGAAGCGACGTTGACTGTATATGACACCGGATCATGTTCATGAGGAGTATCGATGTGTTTGACGAAACTGTTCCCCCAATTCCGACAGCCAAAGTGAACTGCATTCGTCTTGCAACATCTCTCGCCAAGATCGTGTCAGAGTGCGATGCTCAAGGAGCACAGTATACGAAACATGACGACTTGCTTCTTCGCTTCTTACCACCGCCGCGAACACCAACGGTCTAGCCTTGCTCCACCTGGCGTCCATAAGGTTCGAATTGGAAGGCTCGAACGTAAGCACCGCTCTGCATGAAAACGGAAAAAAAAAATCCGATGACGAAGCACGTGAGGAGGACGGACAAGGGGAAAGGGGTGAGCGGGGGGGCGGGGTTATGTCACAACTATCGCCAGTGTTGCGGTGGACCCCTGCAGTTTGGCCTCGGATATGGTGGATCTTCAAGCAATATCATGATGAGATCACGGCAGCAAGCCATAGTGGAGCAAAGAAACCCGAAATCAGCAACCAACTAAACACGCCGGGACTTAAAAGTGGACTATCCACAAGGTGCGACACATCTCGGGGCACATTGTATTGTGTTGCGAAGATACACTAAAGTTTGTAACCACCACGGTAACGAGTCTTTTCGCCGACGCCCCGGACACAGCAGTGCGTCACCTGCTCTGTAGAGTGTTGTACAGCCTGGCGGACCCGTCTGCTCCACTCGACAGAAGCAATGCCCTGCGCAATCAACAACCGAGCCGGGGTGATAAACTAGGCATGAACCTGACACCGGATTTGTTGTCGTTGGGTCGGTACGTTCATCAGTCACCATGAAAACGGCCAATGTTACCAATGGCATACCCGAGTGTTGAATTGGGGGTCTAATACCGCCCGGTAGTCGTGGCAAGCGCGAGCAACAGAGGACCTGAGCCCACCAAAACCACCAGCACCAACAAGAACAAGAACAACAGCATGACCACGACCTACACCACCGACACCACCAACACCAACACCAACAAACACACCAACACTTTGACCTTGGCCAACGTGTCTCAAGAAACCTCCGTACACTGGCAGAAACGACAACAACAAAGAAAAATCCGCGGCCAACGTGTCTCTACAAACCTCCGCGTACTGGCGGAAAAGAGTTTTTTGCTTTTACCACGATCTCGTGACAGCTCCCTTGCCTGTGAAACGGCGAGCAGTCGATCGAGTGCACTGGTCCGTGGTGCTTCTCCATGCGGAACAAACCGGGCGATGGGTAGAGAAGCGATGATTCAAGGCGCGCTCGAAACACCGCCGGCAAGTCCACCTTACAAAGGAAAAAAAACGTAGGTAGGGGGGGGGGGTATCCACATTGGACACGCAGCATGAGTGCATGCACACATCAACCAAGAACGAGTCATTAACGGCTTTTGCATGGTGTGATACAAGGGTCATCATGACTGCTGTTTCATCCTTGACTCAAATGATGGCAAGGCAGGGAACCATTTGCGCTTCCGATTTCGACCGCAGCAGCCGAGGACTCCGCTCGGTGAGCGCGATATTATTTGTCGGTCAACGTCCTTGAGTATTTCGTCGTTTCGAGTCGTTTCGTGTCGGCTCGCTTTTGTTTCGCCTCGTGCCTTCTCGTCGACACGTTGTACATGCCTTAGACGCGGAACAAGCAGGACGGTTGCCTGCTTGCCTGTTAAGTCAACTTGATAGCTTAAGCTTAACTGTGCTCGGAAACACGTCTCATGGAGTTGAGCCGAGAACGGTTCATGACAAACATGAGGAACAAACCCGTTACACACCAAACACGACTGGTGGCAAACAGGTGCCAAGAGATTAGGTTTGGACGCCAACTGTAGGTTGCCATATCGACACAAGGGGTGCAACAAGCAACTTGGCGTGAGATACCTCTGCCCCGCGGTTGACCTTCGCTGCCTTCTCGACATCCCTGACCACCTCCCGCTGATGCTTGGTCGGGACCCGGCTCAGCGTCTCGTCCGCTTCCGATGACCACCGCATGCTCTTGCTCTGGTCGGCAGCCCCCTATGTTTCCGACGATCAAGTCGGCGGGGGGGGGCATCATGCGGGATGTGTCAACTTTGAAGGCCGTTGGTAATTATTTCGCTCAGCCTATCGGCACCAACAGTTCTCCTCCATCACCACACGGAATCACACATGGATATTCACAGATGAATGATCACGTGAATATTTAGGGTCGTACGCGGGTACCTTTGTGAATACACCGACAACGTTTGGGGTCACGCGAGGTAAATGTAATGAAACACAGTACCTCTCAGACCCTGCTCGCACAAGGCGCAGTTCATATTTTGCATGCAAGACACGTACCACCCAAATAATTGTATGCCTACTGGAAAAAAAAAAACATCAAGTTATCATCAGGCACTACACCCCAGACCGTATCTACCGCAGAGAGCTCCAGGCAAACCGGCATGGGCATACCACACAATCGGCTGTCGACACTGTTGACAAACGCCACCAACTTAATTCACGACGTCGAGTCAAACCACGTGCAACGTCCGCCACCCCAAAGCATTCCCGTCGCGCTTGGGCCCCACCTTGGACGATGTCACCAAGCGGCACTTCACGACGGCCCCTCCCTCCGTTCCGATTACCGCCGAGGTCATGTGGCGTCCCTCCCGCAAGAACGACAGCGTGGTGCATCCCGCCTTGTCGAGGAGGGAGAAGAATAAAATAGTTTGTTGTCGTACAGCTGTAGCACCCGCACAAGTTGACGTTGGTCGTGAAACTGGAGTTGTATGGGAAGTACTGTCGTTCTAGGAATATTTTGGCGCACACACGCCTACGGTGGCAAGCTACTCAAAAACGTAGCCGATTTTTTCATGATGGCACGCGGAGCTAGGGCGCCCAGAGGCACCGCCTCATAGTGTTCCGACCTCTGCCAATGTGCGAGAACCCATTCGCCAAGCCACACGTGTCGATGCCATTGCCTTTGACACCGGGGAGATCGGCGGCGTATGGATTCTTCACTGGCCGGTTCACACATGAAAGGATTTTGGAGCAGCTACAGTACCGACAGTTTTTCTCACTGTGCGGCCTCTGGCGGAAGACCTTCGAGCCCTGGTGCCATCCCGGTCACTGTCTGCCCCCTCCGCTGGCACTCGGTATCCTTCTACCGGGCATTGGAGGTTGTTCTTCAGAGACCAAAACAGAAGCTGAAGCGCATCCAAAAAGACAAGAGAACAGGGGGGCTGCAGATGAGACAGGAATTTTAGCATCAGGGTTCGTAGGCGTGACTTATGCTCGGTATGGTTTTCGAAGAAACCGTCCGAGAACACCCACGATAGTAATTGGACGAAACCTTGTAAGGAAAAATTCAGAGGGCAACCTGCTTGCGCTGTGCATGGCTCTGCGTTAGCTTGGGCCACATGAAGAGAGATGATGATATTGTCGGACTTGTGTCGACACATCAAGTCTCGCGGGCTGTCCCTACCGTGTAGAACAATCGGCCCATGAGAGCTGAAAACGAGGTCTCGCTGTGGTTTTGCTCCAAACGTTTGTGGCTTCACCTTTCCATCTCCGGACACAGCTGCCAGGCGGTAGTCGTCATCTCGTTGGTTGTGCACCCAGGAGAGCTGATGGGGGCGAGAGAGGGAGAAAAGCAAGCACAACGTTGAAGCGTGGCATTAAGTTGGGTGACTACGCGCGGGTGCTGGTGCTCCTGGCATAAATGACGCGGACATCGAAATGTAAGTCCAATCAACACCTACGGCTGTCACACCGCATGTACCACCTTCTTCTGTCCAAGCCATTATCGAAGACTCACCCACCCACTGATAAAATAGTATTACTGCTCACGCATACAACTCTAGCATCACTGCTTGCACCCTGAGACATTTATGCCCGACTACCTGCTACGTACACCCGCTGCGCAATGCGCAAAGGTACGTTTCGTGTTTTCCTCTTACCGACGTCACCGGCTCTCGGTGGTAGAGGTCGTCGATCTTAGTTGTTGCCAGCAGCGGTTCATCCCTCGACGTGTCCCAAACCACCACCTGCAACAGACGAGACAGCACGCCGCCCCCCGGCAAGGTCCCGCCAGATGGTACCGGTGAACATTCGGGGCCTCTGTATTTGCGATGCTCTTGCGACTGTTCAATCGGGTGGCCGCCGGGTGAAAGATACCCTATCGTGAAGTGTACAAGAAATCACATGTTGTTGCGGTGACCTTACACAGCCATGTGGTGGGGCGAGGGCGTGGCGTTTTCAGCAACATTGACACTGCGTACCTCCCCATTGAAGGATCCCGCGGCTATGATCGCTGGGCTCAGTGGGTGGCAGCTGACGCACATCAAACAGCTGGGCAGGGAAGGTTACGCGGGAACACCAGGTCAGGGCTTAAAAAATAGGCTCTTGCACAATGAGCATGCCTTGTACCAACTTTTGTTATTTGTATATTTTCCTGCTTCTTGATATCTGTACATGTGTACATACACGTTCCGGCCCACAACCGCGCCAGCGGAACTACCACTTATATGTCAATGATTCTTTCCATGGTGCATGCTTGCAACTTCGATTAAGAGCGAGGGTCGGTATTCCTTTTCCACGTTGGTGTGTGTGTTTTCGTCTCATCTAGTCCTCGGTGGTAAAGTCAAACTTCGAAAAATCAACGTCAATGGTTTTTGAAGCAGTCTCAAGGCCGGAACTCGAACTCCAGACCTCGACCACATCCAGGTATGTACTTCGAGGACACCTGAAGACCGTGGGGGTGAACCACATCTAGAGGATGTAAACCATCGCATCATCCGCTGCAGATGGGATACTGCTGTGTCTTCTCGATTGTTAGGAAATGAAACAAAACTGAGATTTGCACGTATTTGCACTGCCACACAGCCGACCTTCTCATAGTGTTCCATCTTCGTCGCCATACCCTAACCCTATTCACCCGCACCATCAGGCAGACACCAAGCGTATCGCCTTCGGTCGCCGTAGAGCTCCCGCTGAGAGTCTCGTCGCCCTCGCCCCTGCTTCGCACCTGCTGTGGTCCAGAATGGTATCAGGCGCGTGGTCTCCCTCGTCGGCAAAGCCTCGCCGAAAGATGTTCCAGGTAGCGAGGGCCCCTGGGGAGTCGCACCAGCCGGCGATGTCGTTTCTGTTCAACGAAGAACAATTATGTCAACCAATGGCAACAGGGTGATGCTGTAGTGGTTGGGGGTTGTTGTTTTCACAAAAAGTGCCGTTCCGGCATCTTCTAGGCACAGTGGGGGGGGCTCAATCGTTCCTATATGGTGCTGGCAACAGGTCACGGCACAGCCAAAGTCCTCTGTAGTTTGGCACTACTCGGCACGATTCTGAAAAGTGCCGATCACTCGGTGTGGTGCCGATGTTTTCGGCCCGCACATGACGGCACAACTGGGGGGGCCGCACTGCTGTACCCCCTAACGTAGGTGAAGCTAGGAAATGTGTCCCCCGGCGAAGGTATTATCGATCGCAAGCTAGTTCGCCAAACCCGGGCAGAAAAGTCAAGGTTTGTGCCTTGATTCCGTAGTCACGGTGGTGTAGCGCACATGTGAGGACTATGCGTACCACTCCTGCGTCAACAAACTATTCCCGCCGTGCCTTCATGAACAGAATGAGAGATTCGCCTACTGGGAGAAACATCGCTCGACGTTTGGGGTACTAAGTGCCCGTTACCCATCTACGGGCACCCCGTGTCATGTTTTGTGTTGTATACAAAGGCTAACCCATTAGACCACTCAGTCAGCCGCTGACTGAGTGGTCCAATGGGCTAGCTTTTGTAGACCTTTGTCACTCGATACTCTCGTTATAATCGATACAGGTCTTAGGTCAACTCTATCTTCTCTTGCGGGGCCATTGCTGAAGCTGCTGCATGAAAAAACGCCCGAACGTACGTTTTACACACACCTCCCGAACGAAGCAGCTACCACTGATCCGGTGGGGCTCCAGTCTACTCCAGTGGCCTGGAGCGGCTATCGAAGTTTTTTTTTGTCGAAGGGCACGGATGGTAGCAGAAGCGAGGTCAGCGGGTCGAAAGCATGGTCGGGGCCCCAGTTGATGACTGTCCGGCACTACATGCGCCACCCGCCATGGATTCTTCGCCGAAATCTCGAGTTTTGTATTGTCCCTTCGACCCCAACGACCTTTGAGTTGACGCGCGTCTTAGCAACTTCAGGCGCGCTGAATGCTCAAGGTTAGGACGGCTCAAGCCGTAGGAAGTCCTCGATCCACCTCGTCGCTGACGAACGTTGTCCTTTTCCTCAACAACAAGGAAGGCTCGAATGCTCGACAAGGCTTACCTTGGAGCTGGATCCAGTCCCTGCCACGCCTGTTGCACTCAGCAGTCCGGAAAGATCACAAGAGAGGGTATAGTGGAGGGCAATCTCATTGTCTCCTCCCTCTTCGATCGGCGCGTACCCAATGAAAGCCTGTGTTCGTGGAGAGCAAAACGGGTAGTGGAAGGTTCGCTTGCTGGGTAGACTACCGGCGCCAGCCGCGGTGAATACGGATCTCACATCCTAGATGGAAGTAGAGCCAAGTACAGAGAACGGTAATTCAAGAAGCAGCTGCAGTAAAGTGTACAGGGGACTGCGTCAACTTCATGGCGTTGGGTGCTTGGCGGTGTTGTTGGAGGTGGCTGGAAGCTCTCGCACAGCAGTCCTCCACCTACACACGAGGGTCTCGTGCATCACCTGGCTGGCCTCCGACTTGGCTAGCTCGTCCTCCATCTCACCGCCCACCCGCTCCAAGAACCGAGCTACGCCAGGGGGTATGTCACTCCAGTCATCGAAGCCCGAGATGGTCTCAGGGTCGAGCTTGCGCTCAGAGTCTTGCTCTGTCTGTGTCTGCGGGCGGCCGAAAAAGCGCGATAATACTGCACGTCAAAACTCCCCGAGGCCGCCGAGGGTACCGCACTGCATGGATCAGATTCATGGGACACAGGGTGTGTGACGACCGGTCTCGGAACAGGTTCGGCATGGGCGGTGTGTGTTGCAGGTTGGTGCATACTGCTGTAGGTTCGTATGCGTACATTGTTGTTGAGTAATCTTTGACTCATGGTATCCAGCGTGCCTCGACGGGCAGCACGATCACCAGCCCTGCACCCAGAGTTTCCTCGAGAGCGTTATGCACTTTTACACGACGGGCAACTCCTCAGGTTTCAAACACGCCTGTAGTGGCACACACACCTCAGCGGTCGCCGAAATCCGGGTTTGCGTCGAACAACAGTCGACCTGGATCTCGCGGGTCTGCCCCCCTTGAGACAACATCTGCCGTTTGTTTTCGTCGTTGGTCGAGAAGTTGACCGCGCCAAAGTGGGCGTCCTGAAATTCAGGGATCGCCATTTCGCACCTAATCCAACACGTGACCCTACTGCTATTGTTTCTGCCGTCGTGGCGCTCTCTCTGGGGGAAGTCTGTGGAGATAAGGTGCAGCAGGTGTCAAGTGCAAAGATCGCGCGCATCCAAGATCTCCGAACATCGGGTGTTCTATGAGTCGGAGATTGCACGAGTTGGGACACAGGGAGTGGATTCACCAGTCCCGCACGCGAGTTTGAGCGACGACCCAGTGATTTCCCTCCTCGTTCTCTGTCACCTCTAGTCCTCTGCTGGGCAACAGCGGACGTTGGCATGTGGCCTCCACCAGCCACTGACTTCCGCACTGGTGGTAGCGATGTGACGGAAGCGAAAAAGAAGAGGAAGAGAAAGAAGAAAAGGCGCTCGTCGTCGCAAGACTACACCAGCTCTACGACGGCGTCCACCGGAGATCACGTCAACGGCGGCGCCAGGGGGGCAAGAAGAAGCCCGCCCCGACTTAACGTTAAACCTTCGCCAGAACAACAACAACAACAACAAAGAGCCGGCGGTGTTATCGACTCCGCCACTGGCGCTACTCGTGCCCGGGGAAACAGCGAGGACGTCGTTGCTGCCGCTGGTGGTGGTAGCGCCGATGGTTCGGGCGAGGTGGTACCGAAGGCCGGCGGGGATGCCGGCGGCAAGGATTACGATGACGACGACCACGACGAAGACCAAGATGAGGGAGTCGTGATTCAGCGCGAGGGAACCCCCACGCCGGCGCTGGCCAATGGGACAGAAAAGGCCACCAAGAAGAAGAAGGAAATGGCCGTCGCAGCCGCCGTTGTCGGCGGGAACGGTGTTGGTGGCGATGGGCTGGACACCGCTGCCGGCAACGCGATAGAGCTCGCGAAGAAGGAAAAGAGGAAGGCGAAGGAGAAGCACCAGAAGAAAAGCCAGGGCACTGATGACTCTGAGGAGGTGGAACCGTCCGGAATTCCGTTCGCCCTCCCAATGCCAGGTACCAACCCTATGGCGTAGGTTGCATGATGTAAGATACCACACCCGCTTGGACCGATTTTTTGCACATTTTCACGGCTCGATTACTCCACGACGAAGAAGAGGATACACCCACAATCAACTGATTCGTTCTCGGAAAGCCGTCGACAAGACCACAATTCTAGTGCAGCCATTTCCGGCACCGTCGCTGCTGTTTTTGGCTGCGGAGTAGTTGGCCTCTCAATATCGATCCAGGGGGTGTGTTATCTTCAGCGACCTGCGGTATTATCATATACTGTGGCGCCGAGTTACAGTAAATTAATACTGTGTCTGGGCGCCCTGGCGAAGCGTCTGGTGCATAGGATATGTTGCGGCCGTAGGGGCGACATGCATCTACAGGAAGGCAATTAGCGCCGGGTCGTTTCAGGAACAAAGTCTCCATCGAGGTGTAGCCTGTTCCTCGTGCGGACCCTCGCGGTGCTCGAAATTTATCTGCTTCTGTTACCCTCGGTATCGCGCCGTCCTTTCCTAAGTGCCTCTCTCTGTGCCGTGTAAACTCTCGCGTTCCCAACAACATCGGCACAGGCGCTCGTGCCACTCCCTCAATCAAACCCACTGGTCGATCCCGATCCGCTTCCATTGAGAGCGCGGCCGAATTCTTCAGCACCAAGGCTGTTTCCGGAGATAAAGCTAGCGGCACCGCCGATGATGGTAGGGGTGATACTGTCGCAAAGGGTAACGAGGGAGCTATCAGCAACGGCAGTGTCCATGAGGGGGGCGAGCCTGGCCATAGCTTGGGGCGGCGCAAACGAGAAGAGGGGAGTGGCGGTGTTGGGGCAGCGACTGCGGCCCTGGGCAGGGGGCGAGTGCCTCGAAAGCACCAGGAGCAGAGGAGAGGGCTTCCCATCTTCGCCCACAAGGCGGACATCATTCGCGCGGTCAAGTACCACCAGGTCAGACCCACCCATCTGTTTTGGGTTGTATTTCGCTGCTGTGAAGGAGCACGACGCCATCTGTTTTTTTTTGTTTGTAGTGTTGTTGCATACACACCGCAACCGAGGGGGCCACCGCTGTAAAAGCCGCCCCAAACTTTGTTGGTACCGTACCGCTGCGGCGGCAGGTCCCCGCGAGAAATTTGCACAAGCTCTTTTCGCCGGTGGTCTCTTGGCCAGGGGGGTTGCTGTTGCATCTGTGCTTGCAATCGTCTGCTCCGTTTCGTTGCCCCAGCCTTTTTACCTGCAGAGCATTCACCGCGCGTTTTTACTTGTAGATTAGCAGCACCAACACCCCGCAGAGACACTTGCAGCAGCTCAACGTCCACTCTGTGGTGTTGTTCGCGCGGTCCTACCAACCGTACTCGGTGGTGGCACAAGCGTCGCTCCGGTATTTTTACGCAACAAAGACGGTCTTATGCAAGGTGCAAGGCTACCCGGGAGGGACTCTTCATGTTATCTACTCCACGTACACAAAGGTACCATGCAGTTGAACCAACAGCGAGCTGGCACGCAGTAACGCCAGCTCCTGCGGAAACCCTTAACGTAAAGCGGATGAGCTAGGGTGAACGACGTTTTTTTTTTGTTGCTTGCGCTCGCGAGTTGCTTGTAAATTAGGGACGTGTCGTGTTTCTTGACTGATCCGCTTGTTTGTCTCCCCTTTTGTCGCTCGATCGTCAGACCGTCGTTGTTGTCGGAGAAACCGGCAGCGGAAAGTCGACCCAGATCCCGCAGTTTCTCTACGAGGCCGGGATAACGAGAGGGGGTGCCGGCTGGATACCGGGCTGGGAGTCGGGGTATGTTTAAGCGTCGCCAACGGTTCGCTGATGTGGCGTGTCACACTCTACATCGTCACAGTCGACGGGTACAGCAGTAGTGTTTTTTACGTGTTTCGTTCTGGAAAAGCAAAAACGCCTAGGTTGTTTTTGGTTGGGTAAGTGTGACGGTGCAGCAATACGCTGCAAACACCATCGTGTGATTGTCTTCGTGTGCGCGTGTTTGGCGAAAGAAGGGCGGCCGCAAGTTCTGCTATAGCGTCAGCTGTCATGGCTGCGCTGCCTTTCCACCTTATGTAGGAGAGAGCCTACCGTAAAGGTTCGGCCGAAAATTAATAATTTTTTACAGATCGATTTCTCCACGACCAATACAGTGGGGGTCCCTATTTTGTGCCGGTATGTGCCCAGAAAGTTCACTGGCACTGCTGTACTGGACCTGCACTATTCAAAGTTTTGACAACGACTTGGAAATTCAGTGTGTGCCCGCCGAAAACACTGGCACTATCAGGTGCATTGGCACTATTCAACCGGCACAAAACAGGGACCCTAACTGCTGTAGAGGTTTGTTTCGATAGTACCCCCAACCGACATGTCCAGGATAACAATCACTCTCTCGACATAATGTTTTGCCAGCACCTCCCGTTTTCGGCGTTGACATCCAGCCTCCTGGTTGCGGAGCAATCGAGCAATTAAACAACCATTCGCACGGGTGCGCGTTCGCCCGTGCCTTTGCGGCACATGCATCTCTTCGCCATGCCCTTCTCTCTTCCGTTTCAGCCGTGGGGTCTCCCGATCAACACATCGCTTCGCCCTGCCTGTGTTCCTTCTCAGCAATTTCGTCGTCTCCCGATCAATTTCTGTCACCATTTTTCTCAACACATCACCCCGGCCCCCGCTATATATTTCGCCCCGTGGTGCCACCCCTCTGCAGGGAGGCCACGACAGCGGCACGAGGGAGCGGCAAGAAGCGAGGGCGGGCTCCCAGCCAGGAGGACGTTGTCAAGGGCAGCAGCAGCGGCGGCGGCGACAAAAGGGGTTTCCAGGGAGGCCTTATCGCCTGCACGCAGCCGCGAAGGGTGGCGGCGGTTACAGTGGCCAAGCGCGTGGCCGCGGAGGTTGGGTGCGACCTGGGGAACACGGTTGGGTACACCGTCCGTTTCGACGACCGTACTTCGAAGAGGTAGGTGGGTTCTGATTGGCTGACTTGTGGTTCGATCGAGTTGCGTCGGTGTGTGTGTGAAATCATGGCCGTGATAGTTGGACCCGATTGCGGTCGCGCTCTCGAGAAGTAAGTTTGATGTAGCGGCGGTGCGGTAGGGGGTGGTGTTGGTCGGCTCGCGCCTGATGCGGGCGAACTAAGATTGTCGTGGTAGGGTGGGCGGTCGGGAGGGGATGGTGATGGTTTTACCAACGGCGGGATGTGATTGTGACACATCTGTCGAAGGGGTGGCATTGGCTAGGCTGACAGAAATAAGCGCGTACTAGCAATTCCTTTTGGAGAGGACCTAAAAATACTAATATTTCGCCCAACATTTATTACAATATTTGTATTCCAAATTGAAACAAATTGTTGGTAGTTGTTTCCTGGGAGCAATTGCTTCTACTTTTGGTCGAAGAGCAACACATCTACTTCATGTATTCCAGAGTTTGTTTTGTAGGGGACTAAGTAGGAATGAAAGGGTTATCACGTCCTCTCGGGATGCGATGTTTGTTTTTTGTTCATCACTTTCGATATATCAGCACTCACGCAGAACATTTTTGCCGAGTAGGAACTCCAATCCGTTGTCCCACGAAACGGGTACGATAGGGAGGGAAAATAGTGCCGTGGTTTTTGCGCGTGGCTCCTGTTTCGGTGTGCATCGCTGGCGAAAGACGCATCGTCATGAACTTGGTCGCGCCCCCGCTCTCTTCCCCTCCCCCCCGACCTATACACGCCTCATTCGGTTGTCGAACACTGCGTCTCATTTGCGCGTTGTATGGCCTCCCGCCTGTTCGGTTTGTCAAGCAGCACCCGCATCAAGTACATGACGGACGGGGTGCTCCTGCGGGAGGCGATGAGCGACCCTCTTCTCTCGGCCTACTCGGCTATCGTGCTAGATGAGGTGATGAGAGAGGCCCAGAGTCTGACTAGCTATTATAGTTCTTCCCTTCGTCGTTCGCACGAAATCACACAACCCGTGGGCCGAAATTCAAAGCTCGACATGCCAATAAAAAAAAAATGTTCTCGAGAGCTCTCGACGTGACGGTTCCAAGAGTGGCAATGGCCGCCCTGTTATCCCATACTGCTGCACCAGCCGATTTCTGCGAAGTTTTTCATTCCAACATGATGCTGTTCTCTTTTTGCTTTTTGCTTTTCGCTCTTCGCTTTCCACGCTCGCCCCACGCCCCACGCAGAAATACCCGCGATAAGAAGAAGCGCCGCCTTTGCCAGAAATTCAGAATATTAAGGAAGTAGAACAGGGAGGGGGTAGGCAGACCATATTCCTAACCTTAACCCTAACGCAGCTTCCCCGATTGCATGCTTTCTCCAACATGTTCACTGAATAGAAAAACCCCTCGAAGGCTACTGAAGAAAAAGCATCACGCAGCTGGAGCTCTATTCAGCGGACATGCCGGCTTTTATTGATCATCTCCTGTCCCACAACTGCTGTTCGTCGGTTACCGCTAACCGAAAACCGCGCCCTTCCAACGTCCCAGGCGCATACCGACACACACGCCAGCTCAGCGTGATGACCTCCTGTACGGGGGTTGCCAAAGTCAACTGCTGTTGGTTACCGCTAACCGAAAACGGCACCCTTCTAACTGTTGGAGTAAACCTTGGCTCACTACGTGTTTGGTATAGAACCTGAGGATCGAACCTGAAATTATCAATGCTAACGCCCCAGGCACACGAGCGCAGCCTAGACACGGACATCCTGTTCGGACTGGTCCGTCGCCTCCAGCCGAAGAGACCGGACCTGAAGGTGGTCGTCATGTCGGCCACCTTGGACGTCGATCTTTTCCGACGATTTTTTAGGGTGGGTGGCCGTAGCAGCAGCAGTACAGAACAGGTCCGGAGACAAAGGAACGTCGAAGTCGGGTCGAGGCTCAGCTTGTTATTTTCATCTCCCACGGGTTGTTCTACGTAGGGTTTAGTTTAGCATCCACCGCTGAGCTGTGTTGCTTGTCCTTGTTTTCTTTATTTTCGTGAAATTTGGAGCCTGTGTTTCTTCACGAATTACTATTTGCGGTAATGTGTCGGGGCGTGTACTATGTTATCACGCTCGTGGGCTCTTGTTGAGAGCGTCTTGCATAAAGGAGTGACTCAAGTTCCTTGATTATTTTGAGAGTGAGACATGGGCAGGCAAGCAGAGCCTAGCCCGTCCAGTCCATCACACCCATCATGTATATGTATCTGGGTACCCCCCCCGGAGATCTCGGAGGTTCGTATCCTGCCGAGTACACACACCAACAAATACTTCTATTTCTTTAACTGTGGGGCTGTCCTGTATCAGCAGCGACAGCAGCAGCGGCAGTGCGAACGATCATGTTGCGGATGCTAATGCTGCAAGTTCGGCAGCGGTAGGGTCAACATATTGCTGCTCGGTGTTGGGTAACTCGTCCAACTCCTGCGTCCCCCCTGACCGTAGAGCCCTTTGACCAGATGATTTTTTATCCTCATCCGATGCCCGATGTCGGACTGGCGTGTTTTCATTGCTGAACCGGTTAGCCTTAGCCTTGTCGAGAAGACAGTGGTATTCTCTCCCCCTCGCGCACGCACGCCCGGCGTTCACCGTTTTCGGTCGAAGTGCAGTTGTTTGAATTCCGGACAACGCACCTCTCCTGTAATAGTGCTACCGATGACTTGAAGCTGTTGCATTTTTTTCTGTTGTCCGGATGTTTGGGACTCAGAACCTCGCACCTCTCGTATCACAGCAGTGTTACCTATGCATATGACTTGAACAACATTTAATTATTTTTCTATTGAGCGGATGTTTCAAATTCGAGCCTCGCTCCTCTCCTGTATTTGTTAACCGATTAGATGATTTGTTCTTTTTTTTCTCGCGGCAAAAACCCTGTGCGTCGCAGGACTCTGTGAGCCTCCACGTGCCGGGTAGAATGCACCCGGTTGACATCATGTACGCCACGGAGGATCAGGTAACCTCACCTAACCCCACCGCACATCTCTGTTGTTAACCCTAACCCTTAAGCCCCACCCCTATCCCATGGAGAATCGGGTAACCTAACCCTGCTGCAAGTGGATGCGTGCTTTCGTTTTGGGGATAGATGGGCGAGAGAACAGCTTGCGGTGCGTTGCTGTTTCGTTAGGACGGTGCTGTTTGCCCTTGCTTCTGCCCAGAGTATTTGTTTGGTGGCCGCGTACGGTTCGTACCGACGCAACGCTTTCTTCGATAGGCGGCGACGTTTCAAGGAGTCTATCGGCAAGCGTGAAGTGTTCGGCGTGGTGCAAAAACATGAAACGAGATTCTGATTCGAGTTTTCACAGGAGGGCCTATCCCCTCGGAAACATCGCTAAGCGATCCCTAGACCGCAATGAACACCAGAACCAGTTTCTACGCTCCCCTCAAACCCGGCACATCGCCATGTCCAGGGGGGTGTTGTCAACGGTCAAACGACTACGGCATGCGTTTGCATGGTGATGTGACAGCCTGGTCCAGTGAGAACCCGGCGTGCTCCGTCCCTGCTTTGTAGGGATGCGAGGTCAATGGTCTAACGACTACGG